ACAGAGGGGGAATTATAGGGCAGTTTCCTAATGATCATATTTGCAAAACTTGTCAAGAACTTGTAGCTGAAGCACATGTGCACATCCGAAAGATCCTTCACCGTGAGCAAGTTGACTCCATCCCAGTGGCACAAGGACGGCTGAACATTTACAAATCAGTAAATATAAGACACCACAGAGACAGACTCGAGCACAGCAGAATTGGGATCATCTCCAGAGACACAGAAAAGGCTTTTGATGAAATCCAGCATGGCTTTATAACAAACACCCTCACGAAGTTAGGAATAGGAAAAACATATTCCAACACACTAAAGGCTGTATGTAACAAACCTCTAATCACCATACCAAATTGAGGTAATCTAAAGCATTTCCACAGTAAGAGTGAGTACTCATTCTCCCCACTATTATCTAATAGTACTTGAAGTCTTAGCTGAAGCAATAAGACAAGAAAAGAAAATAAAGTACTAATAAGACAGCGAGAAGCTAAACTCTCCCCATTTTTAGATACTGTAATATGCAGGAGACTCTGCAGACTTCATCAGAAAACTCCTAGAGCTGATAAGTATTCTCAGCAAAGCAGCAGGAGGAAAAAACATTCAACCTCACTCACCATCAGATGCGTGAAATTAAAGAATCTCTTCTACCTTGCCCCAGTGAGAATCACAGACATTAACACATGCTAACAAACACGGCTGAGATGAACAAAAGTGACCCAGCCTCTGTGGAAGTATCTACAGAGCCTCCTCAGAAAAACCAAAACTAGAACCACCAAATGACCAAGTTCAACCATGTCTAGGTACTCACACAAGGATTCCAAGTCAGAGACAGCTACAGATCATCCATGTTTGCTGCAGTTCTACACACGGCAGCTAAGTTACACAACACACCTCAGTGCCCACTGACGGAAATGAATAAAGAGCCTTGGCTTGCTTTGCAGTTGTGCAGAAGAATGAAGTATGTAGTTCATGTCAACTGACCAATAATCACATTAGGTGGATTGAGCCAGTCGCAGAAAGATGAGTACCCCATGTTTTCTCTCATTTGCAGGCACTGGATGTTGCACAGATACATAAAAACACATAGATGTCATAAAAAACTAAAGCAAAATTGTTCAAGGACACAAAGAGGACTAAAGGATAGGAGGGGTGGAAGGGGACACAGGGGCACAGAGACAATGCACTCAAAGAAAATTGTATAACTGATTGAAAATGTCCTTAGGTGGCCCAGTAGCATGTATATTAGGTATGCACCAATAGAAATCTTAAATGTATTTTTAAGCTTTTAAAAAACACCATCAAGCAACATCTCCCCAGCTCTCTCCCTGTGGCTTACTCATGCATGTATCTGAATGTAGCAAATATTTTTGGTGTCTCTTCTCTGCCATTCAAACAGGAATACACACCTATGGTGATATGGAAGAAAATAATTCTGGTTTCTTAAGTAAAAACCCATAGATCATTGTCTTTCCAGTGTATTTCTGAATCACCTATTAATTCACCTTTATAAGCATTTTCAAATTGCATTATTTATCTCCTAATGCTTTTGTTGTTGCTACAGATGTAGGACATCATGTCGTTTGTATCTTCTGGTAATTTCTAATAAGTGGCAATACATGAAATCCAATACGATCGTTAGTCAATTGCTTGTAAACATTTTCTTTTGAACAGAAAAAATAAAAACAAAATTTAAGATGATAAAACACTAAGAAATGGGTGGAGAGATGCAGAGAAATATAAATATTTTCCCCTTTTTGGTGCTATACACTCTAGGCACAGAAAATGCACAGTGAAAAATACATAGTAAATGTTTTTGATTTATTATTTTTTCAAAAAAATCAGAAGTGTACTTTGTAACTTTCAAACAAATAAAAAACAGAAACTAAAGATGAAAATAAATGAAAGAAAAGAGAAAATACTACAGAGAATTTAGAAAAGCATAGAAAAAGGAACATTTATCAAATCATAAGTCAATTTGCTATACACTGAAGAATATTAATAATCGGGACAATACACACTCAAAGACCAGGCAGCACTTTTAAGAGTTTGCTGATTTTGGGACACATAACTTGCTAGAGTGGTAAGTTATGGGTGTAGCAGACTCTAATGATTCACATAAGAGAGAAGTCCAGCTCTCTGTGATGTCTTCTAGCTGAGCATTCACAGGAGCATGAAGGATGCTGTGGAAACACTATGATAGCAATAATACGGGAATTGGGGCTGGAGAGAGGCTCAGCAGTCAAGAGTGCTTGCTGCTCTTCTGAGGACTGGGTTCAGTTCCCAACACCCACATGGTGGCTCACAACAATCGAGATTCCAGTTCCAGGGGATCCAGTGCCCTCTTCTGGCCGCTATGGGCACTGCATGCCTGTGGTGCACGTAATGCATTCAGGCACATACATATGCAGATAATTTTTTAAATTAAAAAAAATAAAAATAAAATCTTTCTTTATAATGGGAAATAAGCCAAATAGCCATCAACACAGAACACTTAGTGTAATTAAGATACATTTGACCACAAATGCTTCGTAATAGTTAGACTCTAATGGGCCTCTTACTACTGAGTTAAAATGATTATAATTTTTTTTAAATGTGTTTTTATAGAGTACAGGAAAATACTTTTTATGACAAGATGTATTTCTATTACCCACACAGTTGCAAATAAATAAAAATGCCTTGAAAAACACAGATGAGTAAGGAAAGTACAAACAAGCTCCTCAGGAAAGTGGCAGACACTGAAGTGTGCAAATTCACCGACACAGCCCCAAATGTTGCTCTAAGTGTGCAAATTCACCGACACAGCCCCAAATGTTGCTCTAAGTGTGCAAATTCACTGACACAGCCCCCAATGTTGCTCTAACAGGCACTCATAACACCACAATGGATTACAAATGTGGCTATTTAGTCCTAGTGTGTTAATAAAACCTCACTTCCCTGCAAGGGGTGTGTGTCTGTGTGTGTGTGCATGTGTGTGAAAATGCTACTCTCAAATACCTAATTCATTAAGAATTGTGGAGAGAAACAAAAGAAATGAAAAATGTTGGGAGCAGTGAACCCCCAGATACTGAATTTCTTGTAAACAACTTGTTCTCCTGCTTTAAGTACCTACAGCTGCTCTGAGCATGAGACCCTCAGGAGTTCCTAGTGGCAGGGGAATGGTTTCTGGGGGGTTTGAATGGGGCATGGCTATCCCTATATAAGCTGCCCCTGAACATAAGAAAAGGGGGCATTCTTGGGGCATTCTGGTATCAAGGATGGTCAGTGTCTCTGTCTCTGTGTGTTGTGTGTTTCAATCTCCAGCCCCTTGCCAGTACATGAACTGTATGGTACGCTGCAGAAAAGTATCAAAAATAGACTTAAGAAAAATAAAAATCTGTTTTCCTTGAACATTCTTCTATTCGTATCTCAGAGGTCAACCATACCAAGGACGGGTGACCTCTGAGCCCGCGTCAGGGCGTCAGGACCCTGCAACCACATTTCAAGATTGATAAAAAGAGCGATGGTGGCGCACGCCTTTAATCCCAGCACTCGGGAGGCAGAGGCAGGCGGATCTCTGTGAGTTCGAGACCAGCCTGGTCTACAGAGCTAGTTCCAGGACAGGCTCCAAAGCCACAGAGAAACCCTGTCTCGGGAAAAAAGAGAAAAAAAAAAAGATTGATAAAAAGAGTTGATGTCGGGGAAAGACAAAGCAGACACCAGCTGGAGGCGGTTCATGGGACAAGGGCCTGTGTCAGATGCGCTCTTTCGTGTTTCCTGGATCAGAAGCCAAAACAGCTGTGGGGATTTGGGTGGGAGCCGAGTGACCAGGGGACTCAACAGTGAATCTCTTGCCCCTCTCGGCAGCTTCTCGGCAATTCTAGCATGCACCCAGGCGGAGACAGCTGTCTCTCGTCAGCTGGGAATAGACACCTACTAAGCGATATTAGGTGTGCTGGGAGTTTTGTTTCTTTTCTTTTTTTTTTTAAGGTTGGCTGACAGAGAAGGCTGAGGGACGCCGGCAAGAGAATAAAGCGGTCCCCCCCCCCCCATGGGGAGAGCAGAAGACTCTCTGCACCCGAGAGATCTTTGTGGCACGGAGTAAGGAGCCAGCGCTTATTGCTTTATTATCTTCCTAAGATACCCCTCAAGGGTAAGCAGCCATAGTGTTGGTTTTAATAAAAGTGGGACTTCAAACAGGGGCTTCTGAAGGCAAACGGCTAACACACACTCCTGTGGACACCGATCAGGTGCATGTAATCCCCTGCTTTGTCACCAGTCGCCGGGCCAGAGCGAAGAGAATCTTTGAGAGCTTGCCCCACCCCCGTTGGAATGACCAAAGCTGTACAGATGGACTAACACCCACATGTGGGGGTTCTAGAAACAAGGCATGGGGTCCTAAAGTCCTAACCTTGACTCTGATTGTCCTCCTTGCGGGACATTAGCTCTAACTGAGAACCGAGTTTTGCCCTAAGGTGTTATTTTAAACTCTCTAGAAATGTTGGGGAAATGGGAGCTTGAACCCAGACACAGGGACAAGCGGATGGAAGCACAGTCGGCCACAGCACAGTGTGGGGCAGCAAGGCAGGCCTAAGGGGCTGTGCAGGTTTGGACTGTTTGCTTCAGCTTAGACTCTTCCAGCGCCCCAAGGTCCTTCCCTCTGCATGGCCTACATAGGTGACCTGGGAGGACTGTGCTCCTCAAGGACATTTTCTGGGAGACCTGAGAGGTGGATAGATGGATGGACAGATGGAGTGGCAGACAGATCAACAAGGGAATCAACAGTAGACTTTTATCCCCGTGTTCTTTAACATCAGCCATTCGGAAGCGGTGTTCTACTTTGAAAGAATATTCACTGAAGTTGCTCCAGGCTGGCTTCCCCGCACTGCCTGTAAACGTCTGATTCACCAGACACACCCACAACACTCTGTGAAGCCGGGTAGTGGTTTTCTCCCCAGACTCACTACCATACCAAGGCAATTAGAATAATTAATTTACCCCAGAACCCATTGATCTAAAATAAATTACCACAGTTGGGGATCTGCAGGTTTGCCAGGGGCGTGTTCTTGCTGCTTTCATTGAGGCAGTACAAGTCCTGCGTGTCTGGGCTGCCCTTCGTCTCTTGGAGAGTCTTGATCCACATAATGTCGCAGGAACACGTGAATGGATTGCCCACCAGGACCCTGCATGGGACAGAAATGCAACCCCATCAGGCTCCACACAAGTTTCGGCTTCGCTGGTATTTGTGAACTGACCACAGGAGGAAAGCGTCTTCGCCGCCTCCTTCACCGCCATGAACGGCATGGCCACCTTCGTGGCGTGACAGTGCTTCTTATTCGTCCCGGGATCTAAAACTACTGTGCTGCTGTTCTGTGCAAACACTGCAGACGCTAAAGATAGCGAAGAAATGCAGAACTTTGCAGAGCATGCAGGAAAACAGATCCGAACAGCACACAGCTATGGCAGGGCATCTCACGAGGGGGAGGGGGCTGCTTCCGTACGTAAGTGAAGCTGTCAGTGATAATCTTTTAGAAGCATTAATACATCTGTTTCTGACCAAGTGAGATACTTAAGAGTTCTCACTTCAGTGGGCCAAGTAGAACCATTTTGTCTCCATTTAAAATGAAATTAGAGCTATCGGGATCCAAGGCTGAGGTGCAGGAACCAGGAGGCTGTCTCTCTGGCCTTTCTGCATTATGCAACCAGAGTCCTTTTCATTCATGCAAGATGGTTAAGAGCTAAACTGGGCAGAAGGAAGGTAGAGAACACATATGCACATCTTCAACCCAGTGAGGGTTTCCGGGGATGATACGCTGGACTCCCCAGGCTGAGCTGTGCAGCCTGCTGCCGGAGGGTGTGCTAGACCTCAGCCATGCTGTCTGGATGCTTATGTACTACAGTGGGTGAAAGAGGAAGTGGTCAAGAGGAAAACAAAAACCACAGGGAAAATCTTTAATGCTATTTATAATGCTCTGCGGCCTATTTAAGATGAATTCCATTTATGATAATGAACCTTTAAATGAGGCCTTTTTCAATCGTTACATAGATGCTGCCTGGCGCTAACCACAATGCTTAAGATTTCCTGAGGATGGGACCTGGCTTTGCAGCATCGTTTACTCCTGTGGTTTTCTGATTGTGCTCTAAGAATCTCAGAGGTCCCTGGAGACTTTCCTGCGAGTTTCTTGGGGGGTGAAGGGGAAATGTGGTCACGGTGGACTGGCTTAATTTCTATCTGCTCACTCATCTCCAAATATTCTGCCAACATCCAAACAGGATTTGATGTTATACGGCATGGAATAGCAGGCAGAAAAGACCCACCATTGGCTGCAAGACACCCAATTGGCACCCAAGACAGTTCCTAGAGTTCCGAGTACACAAATAGCCAACGTCTTTCTAAAATGAGGCTGTAATCAAATAAGCCAAATGGGGGGGGGGGGGAAAGGCAGGGATCTTCAATTAGGAACCCAGGATGCTCACATGGCTGCACAGCACCGGCAGAGAGCTGACTCTCTCCTCTCTTCACATGTTATCTGCCCTGGGTGGCCTGGGCACCCACCTCTCCCACTAAGGGATGGCATCCTAGACGGAATTTTCTCCTTTTGTTCTGACAGGTAGCCTACACACCATCGGCACCTGGTGAATGATTTGCTGTGAGCAAGCAGCTCGCAGGATGCTGAAGCATGAACTGGAAAGCAGAACTCTGATTTTCCGTTCATCCAGGAAACATTACGCAGTGGCACCCAAGGCCTTTACGTGGAGGGCCTTGCCCTGTGTCCCATACCTGCCTCTGAGAGGGTCACGTCTCTTGCTGTGTGAGAAAAAGGCACACAGCGCACGTCCTCACTCACAGGTGGGGCAAAGTAAGCTGGTCTCCTAGGCATAAAGCATAGGGCAGTGGTAACTGGAAGCTGGGAAGGGTGGCGGGAAGGGCAATGGAGGCTGGATCAGGTACAAAACCACAGCTAGGCAGAGGAAGTCACAGCGTTCCACAGTAGAGTAGGCCTACTGTATCAAACAGTAATTTATATTTCAAAAGAGTTAGAAGAAAGTATTGAGTGTTGAATATTTGAGATTTTATATAAACATGTTTCTAAGTGGTTGAAGCTAATGCTTCTTCCTACCCTCTAAGGTCTGTCCTTCCAGCCCTGGGCTTGCCTTGGGCATCACTCAAGCCCCTGCCCACAGCAATGGCGGCCTTCATATTTGCGTCATGGTGATTACACCAAGAATCATCTGAGGTGTTGGCTGTCAGCCATCAACACATCTCAGTGTTTTCCCTATCATTTACAGAAGAGGAGACTGGAACATAAGGATAAATATTGAGCACTGTGGTGGACCTCAGAGAAAAGCTCCCAGAGATGGCAGGGGTGGAGAACGGTCTCTCTTCCACAGTTGGCTACACCCAAGCTTTTGCTGGGCTGAGACTGACAAAGCTGGAAGGGTTTTATCCGCTGCAATTTCCTCCATGATGAACTTGCTTTATTTTAGGGTTTGGATAAAACAGGAGCCAGAAGACATAAAATATAAAGCCACTTTAACACAAAACTCCCTGCTGTTTTTTTCTCTTTTCCCTCTATTAGAAAATAAATTATTTATGTAAAAACAGCATTCAGCTGATCATAATGACATATAATTGAGATTGAGATTTTAATCACCCAACTGGGGCAAAACTAGAGAAATCATTTTTCAAGAGTTTTGATGCAACACAAACTTGCAATGGTACTCATTTTTTAAAGAATACCAATTATCCTATCTTTTGAAAATTTTCTCCCAAATGTCCAACAAAATCATTACTTACAGCTCAGACAAGTCAAGGTGGCGGAAATGCTTCCTCGACAAACTCGTCAGCTTGTTTCGTGTGAAATTCCTGCGAGAAATAAGATACATTAAATGTGAATTTAAAAGGTTGTGGTTTTAAAATGATGTGTTCAAATAAATACTTTGTTTTCAAAATGTAATTTTCTTGGATTGGGTACACATGTTCCTTAGAACCCATGGTGTCTTTACCTAGAAAGCCAACTTCCTGGGTTCCCTGCCTCTCTCGCAGTTTCTACGCGGCTACGGAAGGGTGGGTGCCTCGCAAGTCTATTTTTAATATCTTTGTTTCACAAGAGCTTATGCTTCACAAATTGACTGGCGGTCCAGTCCTAAGCCTAGTGGAGATCCTGACAGTTTGAACATTAAGTTGGGAACTATGTAATAAAATATAACATCACAAGCTCACGAGAACAGAAAAACTTTACAGCTATAAAGCATCTTGAACATTTTAAAGTATGTGGCAAATAAAACTTGGAAAAGACATAGAATTTAAACAGCCTTTCCAGGGAAGAGCACACCTGACTGAACTGTCCTCATGAGACCGTTTGCACAGGGCCTTCATGAGCAAGGAACTCCAGGAGGGCTCTATCTTGAGCTCCCCAGAAATATGACATATTCAGATTTACATAAACCAATGGAAAGTTGCCCTATTCAGGGTGAAAAACAAAAAATAAAAAATAAAAAACCAAACCTAATGAATTTCCCGGTGTGTTCCAAATATGTGTGTTTCTCAGGCAGGTGGGCATTTTCGGTAATGTGTGCCACGATCACTGGGATGAGAAATTCCCAGCCATCATCCTGGTAGCTGAGTTTGTTGACTGTTTAAATTTCACTTCAAGTTATGAGATATACGGTCTGACAGTGACAGCAACCCTGAGGCCAGAATGCTGTGTTAGTCCAAGGGTGTCTCCGTGGAAGTGCTCTGGTCCATGTGAACAGGCCTCTTAGAGAGCCAGGGAAACCCAGGAGTGGAATCCAGAGCTAGAACTAGCCAGCTGGGGAATGGTGAATGTGGTTTCTCAGAACTCAAGGGTGCGTATGAGCATCCGGTGAACCTCCTTCACAGAGATCCCACCCACCTGAACCCAGACTGATGCAGGATGCCCTTGTGCCTTCTAAGCTTGCATCTTCTCCATTCACAGGAGAGCAATGTGCTTATCCCCAGGAAATGGTAGCCCACATCAAAGTATAATCCACCAGGAAGTCGGAAGACATGCCCATATAAGGCTTTCCTTTTGGAACATGAACTGAGAATGGCTTTGGTGGAGCCCATCACATCAAAAAAGTCTATGCCTTTTAGGCTCAGATATGTTCATATTCATCACAATTCCCAATCCTTCTAAAAAAGTGGAAAAAGAAAAAAAAATCCATTCTTCTCTCCCAAGATAAATAAAAACAGAGAGGAGGAAAGAAGGGAGAGGGAGGTGAGGATGGAGCTGTGGAGGAGAAGAAGAGAGAAAAAGAGGCGAAGACCAGGAGCGAGAGGAAGCGAAGGGAGGAATGGGAAAGAGTCCCTATCCGCTCCAGGCTGCCCTGCAGAGCAGCCTCCCCCGTCAGCTCCATGCTGCCCTCCCTGGAAGCAGCTGCTCTATTGGGCTGCCAGCAGCACAGTGCAGCGCAGGGTTACAGCCAAAGAACAAGATGAGTTTTATGAAGCATACTTAGGAATGGGGCCAAAAGCCAAAAAGGAGGAAGAAGGAAGAAAAGAGAATCAACAATCCTCTCACTGTTTGATTGTAAAACTTCGTTAAGAGCACAATTAGCACCTCGGCAAAGCCCCTGGAAAACACGCAGGCTGGCTTTTCTCACAGTCCCTTTGGGTTTAGGGTCTGGGCAGCAGTTAAAGGCACCTAGACATACATTCAGAGAGGAGCTCTGAGAGGTCACTGTGTGAGGCGAACATGGACTAGGCAAACTGAGGCAAGGGTGAGCCAGGGTTCCCCTCTGAAGCTTCTCAAAGCCCGGAGGGCCATAGCCCCATCTTTTTCATATGTCTTAGGAGGGGAGCTAAGAAGGGTTGTCAGGCCAGCCTAGGGCTGGGGAGAGACACCTTTAGAACACAGCTCTTCATTAGTCACTTGCAGCCCACTGTGTTGAGAACTGGGGTCAGTGCAATTTGCATTCAGGAAATCCAGGGAAAACAAGCTGGTCCCCAGGGTCCTGAGTCCCAAGCAGAAGCTGGGACAGAAGGCAGATGCTAGAACTGACTCCCCTCTCCATCCCTACCATCCTCCAAGACAGGCTAGCTTCATTCTGTGGCTAGGAAAAGCCCCTTTCTCCAAGTGAAAGCCCGAGGCTCGCTGGCATCTCTCCACTCTTTGTGACTGCCTAAATACTGGCCTAATGTCACTGGGTCCTACTGCTTGACAATAGCTACACAAATCAATAGAGGTTTTGAAGTTAGACCAATTATTGGCTCCTGGCTTGTAGGCTAGTAAGGAAGCTATATAGAATATCTACCTCTTTTTAGTGTCCTATCTTAAGACCACATCAAGAGGCAGGAGCAGACACATAACTTTATGGCTATGCAAGCAAGAACACCATTAAAATTGTTTTCTCACATAGCAACACACAAAAGAAAGACACACGGGGCTATCAATAGAATCACAATTAGCCATGGCCCTCTGTTCATACTATAATGGGAGCATCAATCCCCCCGAGGAATCAGACAACACACAATGAAGTTGCTGAGCGATTTGGGTCTAAGGTCATCTGTAATGAAAATTCGAAAACTTCGCTGTCAAGGTCATTAATTACTTCTGAGAGGCGGCAGTGGGACATTTTTCCATCCTCACCCTGCCGTCGCGCCTGTGCCGCCGAGGGCCACCAACACATCAGGTTTGCCCCCAACAAACCAATCCGGACGGGCTGGCAGTAAGTGTTTCAAGAAAAAAAATAAGTGTTTTAAAATGTGCCCAGAGTTTTATTCCGGTTTTGCAGAATGTCTTACATCTTAGAAAGTGACTTCATTATTCCTGTCACATATAAAATATGAACTCATGATAATGACTTTATGAAATTAAGGTCTTCAGTAAAATCAACACATCTCCACAGAGCACCCAGGCAGTCTGATCCAAGACAATGAATTCTTTAGTAACCGGCATGGAAACCAGCCTGGGAACTGTTTTCCCGGGGAGGGGGAAGGGGCAGATGTTACAAGACCATAGTGATGGCAGAGAGTTTATCTCCTTATTCCTGTCTTAGGAACACGGTGAAGAGCTGGCCCGCAGGTAAGTCATACAGCTCCCGCAGACTGGGTTTTTGTCTGTGAACTGGGGATACAGACATGGCTCTGTGCAAGGAAAATGCCCAGGTGAGATCCAGCGGGTAAAAGGCCAACTAACCGTGAAATGTAAGAGACTTTGGTCAGCAAGAACTCTGAGGACAGCCCTCCAGCAAAAGACTGGTTCCACCCAAAGCTCACAGTGTGAGGGAATCCGAATTGGGGGAGGGACCATGACATTTTTGTCTTGAGGGTCATCAGTTTGATAGGCTATCTCAGGAAGCGCAGAATTTGTTGACTTAACTGGTAGCAGTGAGGGGCTTACCAGAAAACCACATAATAACTCTTATTTGCGCATTTTCAATGGATTCCAGTCAACAAAATGCCAACATGACTCGGGGCAAAGCAGCTCCTACCACTAAGAGTCATCTGGACCGTTAGCATAGTCGGTGATTGATTTCCTTTCCTCTGCTTTTATCAGTCCATGGCACATGCCGCTGAGAAAATGAAGGCTCAAATGGTCCTACTATAAGGGAAAAAGCATAAGTAATTTTTATTTCCTTAAGCCATCCAAGGCCAAGTCAGCATCTTGATTACTTAGCTTGATGTCTTCCAGGGAGTGTGTCTTATTCCAAAGAAAAGAATCAAGACCTTTGTACAAGGACATCGTTTTCACATCAGAGTCCTTGCCGTTGGCCCAAAGCTCTGTCCAAGATGGAAATGGCCCAGAAATTCACAAAAGGGAATGAACAGGCTGTTCTAAGCACCCCCAAAGCCATTCTGAAATCAAACACAATCAAAGTTAACGCTCCTAAGCTGCTATCAGGGCGACGCTAACTACCAAAGGGAAGGCTGGGGCTGGCTAAGGAGAAAGACAAACAAGGGTGAGAAAATACTGGACAAATGGCTGGCTACTCACACGTGCTGCAGGTTGCTGTTTTTCAGAAAGGCTTTGTACGCCACAAATTTTAATCCGGAATCCACGATTGTCCTACAGAAAACACATAATGGCATTCACGTTAGAACTAACCAGCAAGCTGCCTGCCTGAGCACAGCAGAAGACAAGAAGAGTCTGAAGTAAGGACGCAGTGAGTACTCACAGGTTTTTCAGCCCCACATAAGCTTCCACATCATCTTCGTTGATGATCTCTAACCTTTTCTGATTTGCGATGAAACTGCAACAGAGCAGAAAGGAAATATGGGTGACTCAGAATGCTGACGCTCACATGGAATGATGGGTAATTTCCATGTCACCTTACCAAGGTGGCCAAGGAGTCCCCTACGCAACACCTCTATGCAACACAATAGCTACAGTCTTCCTTTGGCATCATTGGTTCTTTGAGAATTTGGTCCAATTTATTTTGATCATATCACCCCCATTCCTCCAGCTACCCCTAGATCCAGCCCCAGTCCTTTCTTCCCAGGGAAGGCAATAGTTAAAATGACTGGATTTCACCATCCCTGGCCAGCTCACCAAGGGTCTCATTGTGTGTCACTTTCCTGCCTAAAAATTTTAGTCCCCCTTCCCTTGTAAAGGCACCACCACTGGGCGAAGGCGGGACGCTTCCGGAAGTAGAAGAAAGGTCGCATGCATGTTTCTGCGCATTCCAGGAGACACAGTCATTTCCCCCTTCTAAAACTTGAAGCACATTCCCGCCACCCCCCACTTCTCCCTCCTGTTCTTCTCTTGGCCAGCATTCTCTCCTGCCTGTGTCAGCACCAAGTCCAATAGCTCCTTTGATGAACCACATTCCACAAGCCCCAGGTGGCCCTGTAGGAGATTGTCCTTCCTCCGCAGCCCACAAGGCTTCTAAATATAGGAGTTAGCTAAGGACTCTTGCTAATGACAGAGAATAATAGTCCCTTGGCCATGATGATTGGCTGAGAGATGTGCACGTGACCTCAGGGAGACCAGTGGAACTAATCCTTAAGATTTAACACTATGAATCTTGGGAGAGAGGTGTTGGGTCTTTCTCATCCTCTGGACTCATAAAGGAAGAATAACACCATCCTAGGGCTTCCGATGGGCAAATCCACCACAAGAAAAGGGCTGTCCAAAAATGAAGTCAACAACAAGTGAGCTAATGAGACATAGAAAGGGACAGTCCCATCCAACTACCACTTGGCTCTTTGAATCTAGCCATTTCTAAAGCTAGATATTATTAAACTAGTTTGATCTGGACTTCTGTCATGTGCAATCGATAAAGTCACCAATAGTGCAAACATGCAGCTATTATAATTACTATCCTGGAGGTTTTTGTGCTCTGTTTTGTATGACAGCTGTGTAAGAACCCATCTCTATAGCCTTAGGTCACAGCGTCTTTGAAAACAGAACTGATTCTATAATTCATAATATGCACCATAGTTCCTAGGTTATCCTTAAGCAAAGGAGGTAGTACACAGAGGATGGATAGATAGATAGATAGATAGATAGATAGATAGATAGATAGATAGATAGACAGACAGATGGGTGGATGATGATGAATTGGAGGATACTGGTAGGTAGATGGATGGATGGATGAATGGGATGATGGATGATAGCTGGCTTGTGTATGGATGGATGGATGGATGGATGGATGGACGGATGATGGGAGGATAGATAGGAAACAGCTGCAGTTACAAAAGTACTACAGAAGCTATGATTGGGTAAATTTTACTTCGTCATTTTTGAAAAACATTAAGATGCATAACATTTTAATTAATACCATAAAGTCAAACATACAACTCTTCTATTAACAATGAGTTAAAATGGAATAAATGTATTGAATAATGAGACCCAAGAGCCCCCAGTATTTCTGGGTCTCTACCCAACGGAGAGAAGACAACAATAAGATGGATGGTAAGAACTTGGACAAACAAGGGCTGAGGGGAGGGTAAAGAACTTGTTGTGCAGGCATGAGAAACTGCGTTTGTCTCCAGAACCCACATAGAATTTGGGGGTATGCACCTGTAACCCTAATTCTACAGGTATAGAGATGAGCAAATCCCATAGGCAATAGAGAAGGATGTCCAAAGTTGAGCTCTGGCCTGCACACAAGCACACAGAGGTAAGTATGCCCTTACACATATGTACAGATAGAACACACACAGATGCACACACTTCACACACACACACACACACACACATCCATAAGAAGAAAGGGGAAGCATAATTAGGGCACATTAAAATTAAAATTGAATGACTGAGTATATAAGTTACACCAATATCAAAATCATTTTAAAAGGAGCCATACGAACACAACATCAAAAACCCATCCTCCAAAACAGAGGTCAACCACTTCTCAAGCTCCAGATTCCTAACCCAAGATGAGCCTCTTCACAGGACACAAGACAGGAGAGAGTGAAGTCGCTAATGGCAATCCCTTCCCCCTCCCATCTGCCACAGATCAAGGAAATATATTAAGACTTGAACCGAATGCTCCATTTTTGACATCAAGTTTTTATGAAATGTTTCAAAATCATCACATTTTGGAGACATTTTTCCAAGAATTTCATCGCACTAACGTTTTCAGTAAGACCACAGTGACCTCATTCTTGCCGGTGAGTAAGCTGCACTGAGGCCTGGATCCCAGACCTGATGAGTATTTTTAGCATCTTCTTTCTGTACAGCAGCAGGAAAAGAAGAATCGGTGAGGGAGGCTTCTCTGGAGTCGCCGCTGGAGCAGCAGACAAGCTCACCTGCCAGTGTGTACCCGAGGTAGCCCGTGTGGTCCTTCTGAACCCTCAGCTGCAGTGGGTCTTCGTCCCGCCTCTACCAGGCCAGGGAGACCAATGCCATGGGCGGGGTGAGAACCCCACTACATTCTACGTTTTCTTTCCTTTCCACAGGGATCACCGCTGAATCCACCCGAGAAGACAAACGCCCACCACACCAGGTGGGTATCTAAGCAGCATCCAGGGCCGAAACATTTATCTTTACTTCAGCCTTTCTTTGAGTTGTTCGTGCCGTGTTTAGACGTTTATTTCACTTTAACCCGATACTTAGATTATACATGACCCAGTGGTGCTCAGAAAAGCACAAGGAGCAGAAAGAGAGCAGAGACGAGATGCCAGCGAGGTGAAGAATTGAGGTGTAAAAAGCATCCACTTCGCTGGGCATGGTGGTGCACACCTTTAATCCCAGCACTTGGGGAAGGTGGATCTCTGTGAGTCTGAGACCAGTCTGGTCTACAGAGTGAGTTCCAGGACAGTTAGAGCTGCATAGTGAGAACCTGTCTCAAACAAGGCAAAACAGACAAACAAAAACAAAACAAAAAATACAGACTTGTGAGCAGAGTTATATTTTTGTTTTTAAGGTTTTTGGTTGCAAATCCTTACGAAAACAAGAAGACCAAGCTTGTCTACTCATGAGAAAGCAAGCGGGCCAGTGAAAGATGATTATTCTTGGATCTAATAGCAGATGGGTTTTTCTGAAAACCACTCAAAGGCCATGCAACATTATTAGAAATGGCCGTGGAGTGTGAAGAAAGGGATGCTGGGAACACAGCTCTGTTCAGAGGAAACTGACCCCAAGGTTGCTCCTCGTTCTTATCTAAGCCCAGAAGTCCACAACCTGCTGGTAGCTACATATAATTCCTGCCATATACCCCTAAGAAACTCTGTTTGGGCCTGAGGAGATGGCTCCACAGCCAAGAGCACAGACTGTTGTTGCTGAAGACTCAGGCTCAATTCCCAGCACCCACATCCTGGCCTACAACTGTCTGGAACTCCATTTCAGGGCATCTAGTGCCCTCTTCTGGCCTCTGTGAGTACTGCATGCACCTGGAGCCCAGACATCCATGCAGGCAAAAAAACACTCACACACATAAAGTAAAAATAAAAAAGTCTAAAAAAAAGAGAGAGAGAAAGGGGATTCTGCTTAGTTGCCACCAAGTGAGGAATCCTAAGTATAAGGGAAGCCAGTGAGGCTAACAGGCAAGCCACAGAGGAAAGCGAGAATGGCCAGGAGCCGCATGGGAAACTGCTCACCCCTAGGATTCTGAAACCCACAAACAAAAACAATGCTGCCCTGTCTCTCCATCCTCACTAGGTTGATCAGGTATCTAATATCTGGCACTGACTCGTGGCTAACAACATGGGGAATTTCCTCACACCGTTGGGAAGGGTGTGACCTAGAATAATTGCTCTAAAGGGCACAGTGCCAGCATTCTGCAAAACTAGAAACTGGTACCATTCAAGGTCCAACCATCCTACTTGTAGGCATCACCCAAGGGAAATTCTTACACGTAAGCACAAGAGAGCAGATGCAGAATTGCTCATGTGGGCGGTGTGTTGTTGCTTTCTTGGGATTCCAGCACTCGGGAAGGAGGTGGCTTCCAGTTCAAAACTACCCTGAGTTATATAGGGAGAGTTTATCTAAAGACTAGGAGGAGGAATTTTAAGACAATCAAGAGGATATTACAATAGAATCAAAAGCTAGAAAATGTGCACCCATAAAGATATCAGGAACTTTAAAAAGCAAAATATACTAAATACATAATTGAACTGTATCTAAGCAGAAAGAGATCTCTACGCAAAGTTATAAAAGCATCAAAATTATGTACTGATATATACATACAAAATAATTTACTTAAAAGCTTAACGGTATTGCCAGTGTTTGCAGTACACGTGCAAAGTGTAGGAAACTGAGGCGAAAAAGGGAGAAAGGACAAAGTGTTAAATGGTTTATCTGGTGGAATTGAAATTCTATTTCTTTTTATAAGGAGAAAAGGTTTGCAAGAGAAGAGTCGAAAGATGCAGCATTGATTCTTAACCAGGGAGCAGAAGTTATCTCGTGGGCACTTTTGCTTCACCAGGGGGAATGGAAAGGGGAGAGGACTGGGTGGAGGGAAGAGAAAGAAGGAAGGAAAAGAAACAGGGGTAGGGAGGAGAACCAGAGATAGCCACAGAGTCAAATGACTGTAGGAAGTCTGGGCCGGGGCTTCTCCAGGCCTCAGCAGGCCCACCCAGTTGAGCTCAGGTTTCTAGGTCCGCAGATGATCCCCTGTCAGTCAGGGCCCAGAGCTTCTAGGCAGAAACAGAAGACAAACGCCTTGCCCTACCTACTGGCGACTTACACCTAGCTACCAAAGGTTTTGGGGTTCAGCCGTCTCCTGGACAGACCCTCCTCAGCCAGCAAGTCTACCCTGAGACCTCTCCCCAGTGCTCCTGGGAAGACTGTGGGGCCCCAAGGGAT